TGCTGCATTGGTATCTACAGCTCTAGCGCTTCCCACCTCTTTCCTCTCTCTTCTAACACGGGCAGTGCTGATCTATTCAGCCTTTTCTTGCAGGGATGCCATTTCCACCTCTGCCCACCCAGCTTCCATATCTCTGTGACCTTTTCCAGTTCTTCTACATCTTTTCTGAGAGAGGCACCAAAACTTGCACAGAGCTGTGAGAACCTTCTGGTTTATACAGTGGCAAGCGATGTTTTCTGCTGAAAGCCCATTCCTTTCCTTGCAATTTTTGAAGCCTTTTTATTTTTTAATTGCTCCTGAACATTCTGCTGATGTTTTCAGAGAAGTGCCTACAATTACCCTCAGATCTGCCTCTTGAACAGTAATAGCTAATTTAGAGTCCACCACTGTGTACAGTTAGGGATGTACTTCACTTTATCCTTATCAACATTGCATTTCATTTGCTATTTTATCACCCACTCACTCTGCATCCTGAAATTCTTTTGCAGCTTTCTCCAGCCACCTTTAGATACGACTGTTCTGAACCATTTTCTCCACCAGAAAATGTCACTGTGCTATTTACTGCCTTTTCTCCATCACTTATAACTATGCTGAAAAATCCTGCCCCAGTAGAGATACCTGTAGCATCCAATAGGCATTGTGAAAATTTAGCAATTAGTCTTATCTTTGCGTCCCAGCTTTGCAAGCTATTGATCTGTTACTGCTCAGTGTCTTTGGAAACTATGATAGAAAAGCTTTTTTTGGATTATATGTATTGATCAGATCACTGTTGTCCACATACACCGCCCCTCCTTCCAACAACTGTAACAGATTTCTGAGCCACGACTTTCCTCTAAAAAGCTATATTGACTCTTCCTCAAGTTACTGTATTTATCTATGAGTTCACACAAATTCCATGTTTATTCCAATTTCTACCACTTTGCTAGGTGCAGAAATGAGACCTCTAATTCCTTAGAAGAGTGACTGAGCCACTCAAAACCAGACGGTATCTGTGCCACCTCTGTTACCTTGGAAGGCAAGTCACAGGTCACAGCCCACAGATCTCAACTGTCCTGGTGGAGTTTGGTGAGGGCTCCCGGGTGATGGTCTCTGGTCCTGGAGGTGTGGAGCTATTCATCTGATGGATGAGGTCTGTGACTTCCTTGTCCTGACTACTCGATTTTATTTCCTGCCAGCAACCCCACAAGGGCTTGGAGGTGGAAACCCTCTGTACCGTTGCCCCCACTGCTCGGCAGCCTCAGCACAGCAGGGTCCCCACTGCCAGCACCACAGTGAACTGGTGCAGTGCTCCTCCCTCTGCCCTCAGCATCCCCAGTGCATCTTCTACAGAGCCTACAGATGTTCTGGCAGACTTTCCACTTCTGATAGCTCCAAACAAGGTTTTAATATTAGTTTTTGTCTTTCTCAAATTGCCTGGTAAAATAATTTTTGGCCTGCCTTTTGTGGTTTTACATTTCACTTGCTGAAATTCATAGTGCTTTCTATTTTTCTTGTCCTTTGAAGGTGATTTCCACCTTCTGAATGGCATCCAATAGTCTCCTCTCTGTTTAGTGTCCCTGCTAGCTTTTTTGACCCTCTCAGTATCTGTCTGTGGTTAAGTTGATTCTATTTATTCCAAACCTTCAACAGCGTGTCTGTAAATGACCTCCCTACATTTCACTGTTTTGCCTACTCCTTTTAACAAGCTCTCAGCAGATGTTTCCCACTGTTTCCACCCATACAGTTTCTCTGATCTCCCTGAACATGACATATTCAGGCCACCAGATTTGCTGCTTGGTTGATAATAAAACTTTAACAATATATTTCTCCTCTCTACCTTATAAGCAACTCTAGCAGTTCCAGTCCTAGTCCTTTTTTTTTTAGGATTTTCAATTTTTAGGACTTCAAAGGATCCTCATCTTAAAGGACTAAGCTGGGAGCTGTGTGCTCTGAATCTGTTGAATACCATTCAGGTTTGAGTCCAACTCATCCCCATCCATCACTGTTGTGACTGCACATCCCAGTATCCCGGCTCTGTCTGGGTCAAATGGAGATCTTCATGCTTGTGCAGGCCCCATCAACTCACAGTTTCTTCAGCTACTGATAAATCTGATGTCTCTGTCTCAACACAGTTCTCCTCTCAGACACAGAGGCTGTTTCTCCCTGCCTCTGTGCATGGTGTTGGGATCATTTTGAATTGCTCTGGGGACTCCGATCTCTAACCTCCACGTGACAGTGCATGTTTTGGGACATCCATCTTGTGTTGCACCCAGGACCACAGCTCCCTTGCCGCACTCTCTCCAAGACTGTTCCATCCAAATGTCCGTACCTAGCATCGGACATTTTAGGATGCAAACAGCCAGTTACAAAACCCTTCAGCACTGCAGCCTGCCTGTTCCTGTGTGGGACCCCCACTCTGGTCCACTGTCTGTGGGGGAAGGGTCCTCTGTGGGATCTGTCACCCCCTTCCCCAGGCTGGGTGCCCTTCACCCATGAGATTTCCCTCCTCTGCAGCACAAGAGCTGCTGGACCAGGAATGAGGGAGTCCCTAAAAGCCTCACTGATGTGTTCCTCTGCTTCCCTCAGACACACGCTGTCCCAGAGGACCGAAGTCTACCTGCAGCCAGTGAACAGATGGCAAATGCTCCTGGGCAAAAACCTGGAAGTCCCTTTTGCACAGCAAGGCCCTGCACAGAGGAGCACTCCCAGAAACCTGCGTATCTCTGATCTTTGTTTCTCTTGTGGCTTGCCTAATTCTTTGTTTCCCAGGACACCCACATGCCCATTATTGCTTTAAAATGTCAGCAGACAGTCCTTTAAAAATTACTACTCTCTTCAACATCTTGACAGGCAGACATGGTTGTAATGAATCCCAGAGTGGAAAAAAAGAGCTACGGAGCAATGCAAATCTGGCTGAAAAATGACAAAGTAGTTCCTAAGTTTGCACCAATCAGTGTGAAAACAATCCAAAACAGCTATTTGTGCGTAGTCTTCTTCCAGCTCTGAAAAATACCCTGGATGGCTGCTCACTCCTCCAGAGCACCAGCAGGACCCACCTGTGTGGTAGAGAGGGTGCTCTGCTCTACCTGCAAGTTGGATTAAAGTTCAGAGGCCTGCAGCCATCTGTGTTCACTTCATGGCACCGTTTATCTCACGTTTTCGTCAGAGGTGAAAACCTAAAAGCTGTGCCTGGGTGCTCTCCAGGCATGTGTGCTTGTGCCAGGTTGTGGAGCTGGGGAAGAAGTTGCCAGAAACTAGTGAGGAAAAACATGGTTTAAACCTGAAATGATATCCACATTGTCCCCCTGTGGTTCTGCTCAGTGAGGAGATGCTTGTGACACAAGACTGGCTGGCATGGCACGTGCAAAGCCCTGGCAAGAGCTCTCAGTATTTGTCAAAGATCAGCTGGCACGGAACAGGGCAGGGGGCTGGTACATCAAACCCTGCCTGCCTGCATTTCTCAGGACACCTAAGAGGAGAAGGTAATCCATTTTAAGGACTGCATGACTTCAAGGTGTGTAAATCCCACTGCACTTGAGCTCTTGCATTTGGCATTTGAATCCCCTCTCCTGCTGGCTCACACCTTGGAGCAGGCTTTTTCCTGGGCTGTTTCTCAGCTTGGCGCACGGCTCAGTGACTCGGCGTGCTTTGTGCTGAGCTGGGTGCCCGTTGCTATAATTTTACCTGTTTGTGTCCCTTAATCTGTATTTGTTCCCTTGGAAGTGCAGGGAGATACATTAGGGCAGAGGCACTGGGTAAATACCGCCCGCTTCTCTCCTGCCAGCGCACCGGGAGCAGCGATTAACCCCGGGTAAACACAGCGACGGCCAGCGAACCCGTGGCCGATGGCGAGGGGGGGACAGGGGACCCACAGCTGCTCCTCCCCGGGTCTGCAGGGGAAATAAAAGCCAGGGCCACCCAGGCGCGTTGCAAGAGCAGGATGGCTGTGCGGAGCTGAAGCTCCCGTGGCTGGTGGCTAGTTGCAGGGTGCTGTGGCCTGGCTGACAGGGTGCCATGG